GTGTTAGTCGTCTCGGTTAGACTGAGTATAAAGAGACCTTGTTCGCCAGGATGATCAAAGATTTTTGTGGCGAGCGAGAATTCGATTCGCACTTTCACTGGAAGGTCCAGCTTGCGGTTTCGGACTGAAACTTTCAGTTATTGCATGGCACTTCGCAATGCGAAGTTCGCATCATGATCATTTTATTCGAGCGGGAAATGCTGCATTCCCAGTGGGAATGCAGCATTCCCCCTGGGGGAATTTCCCACAAGCATAAGACGGTGGAGTATCAACGTAGCATACTCCAAAACAAACGGATAGGTATCCCTGACGCAACATATAGGCAGTGGTTCTGGAACCGGCCGCAGGCTCACAGTATGAGGCTCTGAACTAGTCAGTAATCACCGTTACCAATAGACTGACGTTTGCACCTCGTTTCGCATGGTAAGTCAGTGTTCTCGTCTGCATTTCTTGCTGATACGAGCGGTCGAACCTGTGAAAACGATCGAAACTGGAAGGCTTTGTTGGTTACTAGAAGACAATGTTGGCCGCCCCATGGACTGCCCATGAACTGAAACGAAGGAATGCAACCATCAAAGGATCAATCAAGTAATGCTCAACGACAGCTCTAATCACCGAGCGTTGCGTTACAAACTTTCCTATAGAAAGCGCGCTTGATCAGCCGCAGCGGCTGAGCTTTAGCGCACGCCCTGGTCTCCTCCAGTGTGGATATCTCCCATATCTTGTAACGCTTTCAATTTCAATCAAGCTATGAAACATGATTAGTAAGTGCAAATCATCTGCTAGCAGCCCGACCGAATAAGACGATGACGCTCTGGCCTGGCAAACCTGGCAGGCCAAGCGAAAAAATTTATTTTTCCATATTTTTCCGTATTTTTCCTTCAAATTTCAAATTTCCTTCCGAAGGAAATAATTTTTCTATTTTTCCTTCCGCGTGCCACCCTAGATCCAAATAAGTGATCTCGGATCACTCAGTGCGAGTGATTCCGCCCAATACGAACTACCATGTAAACACAAATCCTCTACTTGCAAACATAATACAGAGCATAGCAAAAGTTTTAATCCACAATCCCAATACCACCAGTATTTCCCCCATTACTACTTCGACACTACTTTCGAGTTCCCTCTTTGAGCTTTCTGAGTTGCTCGAGAATCTCTTATCTATATCGACAAACCAAAGAACTTTGCAGAAAAGTCACCACTCAGAGACTTCGAAACTATAATGCAATGCTCAACACAATCACCAACAAACCACCAAGGTAAGAATCTCGCGTGCGAAATTTCAATTTCTTCTTCCGATTGTAGAACAGCAAAAATTTGCTCCATTGCGGGGTTGCCCATTCGTAAAGCGGCAAATTGCTCCTCTGAAAAGTAGCAATTTGCTCAATAGTAGAAGGAGCAATTTATCGGTTTGCCCCTTCTTTGAGCAAAATTGCTCAATTTTGTTACATAGTAGCACTTCACATAGCGGCAACTTTTATATATTCTAGCAATTTCCTGAAATATAAACAAGCAAACGATATTCATTCAAGCAGTTTCTGTTATACAAAACGGCAAATTTGCGTATTTGTAAAGTGAATTTTGCTACTTTGCTCTTCTGTATATCAGCCATAGCGTTCTTACACACTAGCACAACAGCAAAAGCCGCAGGAAATATACATTCCAGCTAATTGGCACTTTTTTGCTATTTGCTCCTTTGCTATTTTGTAACTGAGCCCCAGCCAAGGGAGATCATTGCACAGCTAAGGATGTCTGCGTAGGCACAGTAGGAGACATCAGAGGGAGCAATCTCGTGTCGGACAAACGCACACTATCATAAACTACTAGTTTAAAACTAGTCTCTCCTCTAAAAACGTTGACTATATGTCCAAGAATAAGATGTTGAGGTTAGGCCGCCACGGACTGAACTCATTGCCATTAAAGTCTCAAGGAAAGACTAACTTAGAATAGCTTGGTAATCGGATCTATCTATCTAATAATAGGGATGGCCATAGCTCGGCCCGAGCAAAAGCACGCGTGCCCATCAGGGTCGCACGCAAGTAGAACCCTCTCTGACTAATCATTGTGTCCCCTAATGGAGAATAGTGTACGCTACTTGGTCTTAGCGAAACCGATCTTATTCTCTTGGTAATCGAAGAGCAAGTATCGCCCAGGAAGGACGAGGTTGCCAATGGCCCAGGTGTCGATGTCGGTCAGCCCGAAGAATAACAAGCAGTGGCGACCATAGAGCCTGATATAGTGCTCTTGAGGGATCTCCAGGGGAACACTCTGTCCACCAGCACCCCTCATGAACAGTGTCACCGGCTGAAGACTTTGGCGATCAGCGCAATTGATCTCAAACAAATCCTCATAAGGCTGGAACTTGACAGGCTTGGTCGCAGTAGACTGGAGATCTTTCAGAAGTTTATTCCTGTAAGATTCCGACATGAAAATGCCGGTGGCGCCAGTGTCGATCTCAGTAGACATAGGCTTCCCAAACTTAACCTCTGCGTTTGCTCCCACTTTCATTCCAATAAGTGCCACTTCCCAGTGATCCTTCGCACTTGGGACGAATACCATCGGCCCAACGTACTTTGTAGGATCTTGCCCGCCGAGAAGGAGCTCCCCGGTGGGCTTGGCGGCAGAGTCGAGATACACAGAGAACATGTTCTTCCCTATGAGCCTCTGAGCCTTCGGTTTGTCCAACAGTTGCTTGATCAGCGGTTCGTAAGGTGCCGGTTCTTTATGGGGGTATCCGAGGCCAATCAGTGACGGAGGGAACGTATACTCGAAATTGAAATTCGCCATCAGGCCGAAGTCGATGTTCCGCACCACCTTCCCTCCAAAGGAGAATGCTCCCGAATGCTTAAACAGTGTGACTTCCGTCCCGTCTTGGAAGGAGAAGACTTCTGTTGGCCCAGGAGTGCACTCGGGAAGGCACGCATAACATTTGGAAGGAATAGTTTCACACCCACCGGGCTTGACACTTTCGTACCATTTGCGCCAAATGAAGAACGTTACAGGAGAGCCTGTATCAACCAATTGTCGGAAACTCATAGCGTCAACGGTGATGTCGGCGATGAGAAAAAGATCTGGTCTACCCGGATCGTATACATCTAGTGAGATTGGCAACCTCAGAATAAGCTCTGCGTGGACTACCGCGAGGAGAAGGAAGCGAGCGAAATAGAATGTCATAGCTTGGTCGAATCCTGAGGGGCCGAGAAAGCTCACACGCATTCTGTTCGTTATCTATCCGCAACTATTGAACACAAATATATCAAAGTTTAGTCTACCACATACAGCGACTCGTAATACTATGACCGTAATACTAGACTAGAAGCAAGTGGTACAGCTCACGTGACTTAGATTCGACCACGCTGTTGTGCAACTCGACACTTGTAGCCGATGTGATGTGAAAGAAGGAATACTTATTGAGCGGTTGGCCTGGTTTTAGCTACGGAAAAATCGAACAATTCACGTGTGCAGGCCACCTTGCACACAGCCTTGTGCGTCACCTTCACGCACCAATCACAGCAACCTGACGATGTGGTGATCTTTCCCAGATGACTCAGCGAAAGAAAATTGATTTGCGACAGAAATAGCTGATAATAATATCAGGTAACCATGCCATCTATGAATGTAAAATTGCTACTCGAATTGCCCGCGTACTTCAACACGGTGTCCACTAGTTTCGTACTAGCCCGCTACCTCTAACACAGTGGTGATTGGGCATCGCAATGACTGTATCGACTTCATCGTACTGTTTTGATACGGCTCTGCAACACAGGACTTGAGGAATTCTCTGAGGATTCGTCCTATCGGCGATCGATACAGAACGTTCTCGTCCTACGCCATCACGACGAGTCCCCCATCAAGGTGCTCATTCCCTCCGGAAGCGTGTCCAGTCGGGCGGCCCTCAGGCTCATCAACACCAGCCTAATGCCAGACTGTTCACCATGTTGTTGAGGGCCTCCACGGCCCACTTTGCTTAGTTGGAGCACTCGGTCGTTGAGGTCTCGTAGGATGAGATTTTCCAATCGTCGCATTGGGATTGTCATTATCTCCTCGAGCATCATAACGATGTGTCCAGACCGTACCAGCTTTTCGATCTCGGCCTGATTTAGCCGGACAACTCTCAGAAAGGACTGTCGCGTCCAGTGTTTGAGGAATATATGTTGAGTTCAAGAGTTTCCTCGCTGATTATACACGTTTACACACGAATTCGGGTAGGAATGTACGGAAACCAACAAGGATTTCCCAGAATTTCTTCATAATTTCCATATTGCCATTGACATATGTAGTTGACCATATGCGTATTCTTCCACACTGATCTCACCAGCAGACTATGTTTGTCGTCGTTATTGTTGTTGAGAATAGTGTTTACCACGATGTCTCGAGGATCCAGAGTAGCGTCAGACCTGAGTCAAGCGTGCTCTAGAGAAATCTCTCGTGCAGTTACCGATTGTTCCCATACAGTGTTGCTGCTAGTTTCTCTATAAACGAAAAGGTTCTCCCGAGATTGTCTGATTTCGACTGAGGAACTCTAAATTTTCAGCAGCATGCTGAACATCGCTTACTAGAGCTTCATCAGGACACTGTGAATCTTGATCGTTGAGATGCTTGGCTACAGCGAGCGATGCATTAACCATCTTGAAGTGTTAGCTAGAAAACTATCGCAACTCCGCCGATTTCACCGCATGCAAGAGGTCATTCCCATCCATTGTTTGCCCCACTAGGTCGAGCAGTAGTTTCCCAACCTGTCAATAGGCTCTACGTATGTACTAATCTAGCGATGTTGTGGAGCAATCCGACAGCCCTTATTAGAGTATGTCTGGTCTAGATTGTTAAGGAGGTCAGATGATGACCATGACGAAGCTTTGAATTACGTCACGTTACCGCCGCATTTTCGCTCTTTGTTCGTGATTGAAAAACGCTCTCATTGACAGATACAATCATACCCAACAATCTGTTCTTCAAGGGAAATATTGGTCGGATTATATTCACGATAAGACATAGTACTGATAGCAGGGGATATTATTGGTAGCATCAACAAACTCTACTTCCGGTAGACAAGCAGTAGCACACAGCTCAACTGTACAGCACTCAATGAGGAACATTGAACCACTCGAAGTAGTAGCGACATTCGAATCAGAAAGGTGAGGTTCGTGTTTCTCAGTAGAAGTACAGAGGCGGCTGATGTAACCACCGCGATCAACAGGAAGTGAGGCCGCGAATCGGTGGCAGAGTACATCAATTACACCCGTGTATCAGCATTATTAAGTAACGGCTCATGAACATCAGTCTTCACGGTAACACGACGAGGACGAGCACTATTCGACATAGACGATAAAATTGAGTTGGCTGAGTCGTCCATAACGAATGGCTTTCGCTCGAGAGGAGTACCAGCAGACATCGACATCGACATGGGAGCCCGAGACGGATTAACCTGATGGAAAAACCATAAATTACCCAGAGAGGAAGACTGTTACCTTCTCAGTGCCAGCCAGGCCGAACGGGAGACGCACGATATTGTCGTAGACAAGCACACCATAGACGAGTAGGACGAAGCCAGCGAGCTGTATGAGCGAGTACGGCGTTAACGGCTCACCGAACGAGTGATCATCACTCATATAGTACCTGTGGTCAAACAACGAAGGGTGGCGAGCACTGCTCGCCGAGCAGCGAAAAGCGTGATTTACTACGCGGTGTGCTCAACCGCATGTGTTGGTGACGATATAAAAATTGTGGGGAAATTTCAGAAAATTCTTGTTGGTTTCTGTATATTTCTACCCGAATTTCTATACAAGCTTCTAAGTGAAAAAACTCTTGAGCTCAGCTGAGGAAAGCGAACACATATTCCAACACTGCTACTAGGGCTGCAATTTCGCAGATTAGTGGTATCACTTTCGACTCGAGAGCTCTGACAATGACATAAATCTCAGAGTAGCATTATTGACGTAGTAATTCCAGATACCACATTTTCCGGAACTAGCCCTGAATATTACATTATAACAGAACAGAGCCAGATAAGAATAGTCCTAGTAGAATCAAGCATAGTGGTGTGGATAGCAGAGGCAGAGTTAGTAACATTAACAGCGCAGATATTATACGCGAAAGTGTTCAAAGCATAGCCGAGGACACCACCAAGGACCATCTTAGAGTCGCCCATCATCGCAAAAGCATCAGAGGCGTTCTCGAAAACCCCACCTACGTCTTTGCCCGGTACATGTTGCATCACTGGTAGTACTATACATGCCATTACAAGGAGGCCCCAGATACCTTCAATGCCTACTAGAGCGAGGGGTGGTACGGCACCGCCCTTCAAAAGGAATTCCTCTACGACGTATTGGGAAGCACACACAACTTGGCTGCCAATGATAAAGCAAATACCGGTAATAACTTCACCAGCAGAAAAGCTCACCGCTTGGGAGTCTCTCGAGAAAATCGAGGAGGACCCGACCAGGCTAAGGGCGATAACACAAATAATTACACCACCCCAGTGATTTCTGTACATCTTGCGTTTTAGAAATATCACAGACAGAGCTGCAGAGAAAACTATGATGCTTCCCTTGAGCATTTGGAATACAGAAACGGGCGTGTAGACCAAACCGACCGCCTGGAATGAGGTTCCAACCAAGTCGAAACATGCCGGGAAAAATATAGCCAACCAGGTCCTACGAGTTGGGGAGGAGTAAGGCTTGCCCGAAACCCGAGCTACTAGAACGCGTACATAGAATACTACGAGGGCTAGGAACATGCCCGAAAACATCATCAGAGACATGAACCAGGGCTTGTTGAAAAGATGGACACCGTATTGAGGGAGTCCAAGGGCGAAGCTTTGGAAAGCCAGCTTTTCCGATATGGACTGTCCTGACCCGACAATCAGACCGATACCGAATGCTATTCCCAGGATCGACAAGGCCATGATGAGGGAATACCAGGGAGGACTAACAGAACTGAAAATCGGGGCTTACTTCATAAGCATCCTTATGAGAGATATTGGACCCATTAGGACGCATTTAGAGGGTAAATGATTTTGACCTTGCCTGAACATGCGTTAGTAGATAAGGGTCTTAGGTGTTGAGGTATAAGGCACTAGGACACTTTTTCCCTGAAAACTGGTGGTTTAGCCGCTCCGTTCTCACAAGCTGTATTGGTGAAGGAATTTTGATACATATAGCGAATTAGCATAGAGAGCGATAGGAAAAACACCAGTGGAAAACACATTTCACGACAACTGCGTAGCGCGAATATCGGCATTTTACGTAAAACGGGTGAAACTCCACTGTACTAGGGCCCTATGCGAATCCTGAAGCGAAGGTGGGCCAGAGTATCCACTGAGATGAAAATATCAGAGGGTGAGTCGAATCATGGACTCAGATTCGCGAATCATTATCCGCAAACGGCCCCTGGCCACCCTAATGCTAAGGATGTACAGCGCTCCGCATAACAGCCGTTGGTTCGCAGCTCGGACATCCTTGAGGTTAGAACTTCTTCAAGGGCCTATTTCATGATGTCTTTAAGTTTAGTATCCTTACTCCTTAATAAGGATGAGGAGTCCTCAGCCTAAGCTATGGTGTTGAGTCTTGTGGAACAACTTTACCCTCAAAATGCGTCTATACCGGTAAAATTCCTCAGAGCCTATGAAGAAGGCCCCAAGTATAGGAGCCTTCCCGCCACCGTCGCGCGCCACGAAATTATTCTACTTCGGCAAATTGATTTCTAGACGATGAGCTTATCCTTCGTAAGGGAAAGGGCCTGTTCCACAAGGGTACGTAATTCAAGGCACATTTAGTTTAGGAGCAACTGGAGGAGTTACTCAAGTAGAGGGCGCAATTTGCTCGTATGAAACAGGCCCAAAGTATAAGTGCTTTGAGTCTATGGCTTTGAGCTGGAGTTAGCGTGCTGTTTTCACTACTCTACTGCCACTTGCCGAACTTATAGAACTACGGGGAGGCTCCTATGTGGTGTTCTGCATAACAACACTTACTTCCTCTTTCGGTTCTCTTGTCCATGCTGGGATGTTATCGAGGAGTGGTATGCAAAACCCGACGAGGACTAGCAGCGGCATTTCCTTCTTTCCGGACACTATTCAGTGCGGTTACCTTTGAACAGTCGCCGAGACCTCTCGCCACGGAGATCCTGTCTGGTCTGAGGTGATACCAAAACTCCGCGTATTTAATTCCGGCCCGCCATTTTCAGTGAAATTCGTGGGCCTCGTGGAGAGCGAATTAGTAGAACATCGCTGATGAGCGAGTGTCAGGAGGAGGCCGCGGACGTCCTTCTACAACTCGACAATGATTATGGTAATAGGCGAGCGTTTTGATACTCACAGGCAGTGTGGGGAAATATGCACATGGTTAACTACATGTGTTGGTGACAATAGGAAAATCGTGAGGAAATTTTGGGGGAACTCTCGTTGGTTTCTGTACACCCCTACCCGAATTCATCCTAAACTCCTAGTATTAGTGAGGAAAATGGTGAGCTCAGTTGAGAAAAAAATAACACATATTCCTCCAACACTGCTCACAGGATGGTCACATGTCCACAGGTCAGCCCTTGGTGCCTCCGAAAGACCTCGTGCTCACAGCTGAGACAGGTTCCGGCAAGACACTAGCGTGAGGGATCTCCCACGGTTGCTAATAGATGCCTAGTAGGTATCTGGCGCCGTTGCTCTCGAGGTTGGCCTGGTCCATCACGGATGCCTCCCCTGAGGGTGTTTATCTCTTGATATTGGTACCAACACGAGAGCTCGTCCAGCAGATCTCCCGAGTAATGCTGCTGCCTCTCGGATTCAACCTTTCTTGATCAAAGGTCGTGGCATCTCTACTGTCCTACCATCCCCTTCTCCGGAGCAGCTTTCTTTGTGGTGGGTACAGTATTGATGATGATGTGGAAAGGATCGCTAAGGAAGATCGACCGCATGTAATCGACAGACAGGCTTGAGTTACGCCTCCTTTAGATGGCTTGTAGGTTCTAGTGTGCACCCCTGGTCGACTCATATCGCATCTATCTAGTACTAGTGGCCTCTACTGCCTCCTCAAGCAGTCTCTACACTTGTTAGTAGTGGATGAGTTCGATAGAATGGCTGATATGGGGTTCCTACCACAGCTTGAGTGAGTCCCATGGGATCTCACACTCCTGATGGCCTCCCAGGCACATCTATTCGGCCCTTCTTGGCTGCCGCTCGGATGTTGGTATCGTATTGTGTTCGGCTACTATTAGCCCAGTACTTGATGGAGTAGCTAGAAGAATGCTGCGATACGGCTTTTGTCGGATCGGGGTGGTCCTGGCATTCTGAGAGCTACGCTGGACAGGGATTATTACCTTTCAGGCGTCATCAAGTTCCCTTTCCGTTACGCCTGATAAGCTGCGACAAGAGGTTTTGTTTTTCAACGCAGATCAGTTCCAAGTGGGATTAGAGACCGGCTGGAATCGTCTGTGGATGCCCTTGTTGATTCAGGCGACTTTGGAGGCGATGATATACCGTGCTACTACGGATGACGGGACGGCAGATCGTCACAGAGTGTTGGTACTTTTCCCAACGGTCCGAATACTACAGCTCTTCTATGTCATGACCAAGGCTCGGCGGCGACAGAAGGGGACCAAGACAGCTCTACATGTGATAGTATCATGATGAGGTCTGATAGCATCTCCCATTCCAGGCTACTCGAATCGCAGCCCTACACGCTCAATTGTCTAATGATAAGAGGCGTAGTATTGCTGATGAGTTCCTGCATCCTGATGAGTACTGTACTGCTAAGAACTGCCTGGTGTTATCATACCACATTTCTTTCAGTTCATGCTTGAATAAGGTCCTGTTCGCTACTGATATTGCTGCTAGAGGGTTAGATTGGAGCCAAATCAGTCACGTCATTCAGGTGTGTTGAGTGACACTGTCCTTGCTGGTACATTTCTATTGTGTAGATTGATGTCCCCCATGCTCAAAGTGAAGGGGAAGTTGTAGACCAGTACGTCCATAGGATGGGAAGAACCGCTCGAGGAGGGTCTGCGGGAGTCAGCACGCTCATGCTACCGCGAAGGCTGCATCCCAACGGTCTTCCAAGGATACTTGCTGGTCACAGTGACCGGTTGGTGATGCTGAACGACTCTGACATGCTCGATTCGTACATGTCAAAGTTGCCCGTGGGAGAAATTGAACCTGTCTGGTTCGAACCTGGGTCCTGTCAGCTTGGCTATCGAAGTTTGATGGCATTCTATCACAGGCAGATGCAGTTGTCGTGTACAAATGATTTTGATGTTCGTAAGGAAGATATCATCAAGTGTGTGAATGACATGATACTGAGCACGGGCCTGTTGAAGCGGCAACCCATGTTGAACAGGAAGTTTGTGGACCAACTGGGGTTCACTGGTCTGCCGGGCATCCGTATTGGCAGCTACTTTGAGAAGGCTAGAGAGGCTGAGGAGATTGAAAAGGAACAACTCAGAGAACCTTTTGGACAGCGGCTCGCATGATATGGTCTCGGGGACTCTGAGGATGGACGTTTAGTTGAGATAGTAGCTGTCGCCTGTTGTGAGGTTGATCACACAGAAGGGGACAGTTGGCTGATGTAGCGTAATCCAGAGAGCCTCGTGTGTCCATTTTTGTCTACGTAATTCATCATGATTGGGTCAGCGACGGTTCCTAAGACGGAGGAGCACATTGAGACCGTTGTGCAGTTTCCACGTTTCTGAGGACAGCATTTGTCTTGTTGGAAGTATGGAATATGAAGAGTTGGTGAATTCAATGTAGATCTGTACGCATTCGCATGGCCAAGTTAATATCGTTAAAACGCTAATATCTTAACAAACACAGTGATATTGATAGTTTAGCACCTGCTGGAATGAATGGTGGTATCATGCGTTGTTTCGCGTACGTTTTGCACGCATGCACAGGAATCTTTCGTTTCACGCGTTCATGCTGGATTATGCTCTCGCCAAACGAATGGTCTTCGATCTCCACATTATTTTTCTTCTTCATAGTAGACTGTCTCTACCCTCACTCCTATTATGTCGAATCCCCGTGCCACCTTCAACACGACCGCCGGTAATTTCACCGTGGAGCTGTATTTGGACAAGGTTGGTTTATTCGCTTTGTCCTTGACGATGCACTTCCTGCCTTACTCAGATGCCGATTACCGCCTCCAACTTCATTGATTTGGCCAAGTCTGGGTTCTATAACGGTCTTCATTTCCATCGAGTCATTTCCGGCTTCATGATTCAGTTCGGTTGCCCTCACTCGAAGGACCCCAGAAGCTCCAGAGCTGGTAGCCCACTCCATGATCACTGGCTCTCGTTGCTCCACCCTTGTTATTTTCAGGCACTGGTGGCCCTAACGGTGGCACTAAGTTCAACGTCCCTGGTAAGGGAGAGATTACCAGGGATATGGGCGGAAACATCCCTGATGAGTTCAGAGAACCCGGCTGCCCTCATCTCTCCAACGAGGTCCGACATATCTAGGCCTGGCAAGGTTTGCGGATATATCCTGCGCTCAGGTTGGAACCCTCTCTATGGCCAACACTGGCCGTCCCAACAGCGGTGGTAGTCAGTTCTTCATTAACGTAGCTCACAACGAGTTCCTCGACTTCTGGAGAAACGATCTGGCTCCCAGCCAGCATCCTGTTTTCGGCAAGATTGTTGAAGGTAAGATCCTCCTCGTGTTGGGTTTCCATGTACATCTTGCCCGTCGTCAGGTATGGATGTCGTGATGAACATCTCCAAGGCCCCCACCAACAGCAACGATAGCCCCAAGACTCCCATCATGGTCAACTCCATCACCGTGCAGGGTGCTTAAGTCTGATGACTAACCTATCCCAATGATTCCCCATTATCAGTGCTTTGACTGTTATTCGAGTATGATGATGTAGAGTCGGTGATCGTGGTGGAGAATCACCGCACTTCAGAGGAACTAGATTTTCCTAACCTAGTCTGTTTTTTTCACGATCTGAGTTGGTACGGGAGTCAGTGAGTGATGTTTGTAGAAGGTTGGGGCTTGCTTCACCGATTCTAACTGGCTAGAGAACGATCGATTCTAACGGAAAGATGACGTTTAATGACTTCTTGATTGGTCACGCCTCACTTGGAGACCATAGTCGAGGTCACCTCGGTGAAGTGTCTAGGGCCTCATCTGACGAAGAAGCGTCAAAGGTTTGGTTCGGTTGACGATATAATCCTTTACGAAGAGGGAGACAAGGTTATCTCAGCCTTGGAATAGTTCAAGGTGGTCTGTTATTAATGCTCATCTGTATCGTTAGTATCCTGACGGGATCTGATTCATGTTCGATCACATACACCAAGCCCCAGATGCCTCGATTCGGAGCCATCCGATTATACATGCCGGTGTGGAATCGTCAGGCGGGAAGGACACAGTGAAGTATACACCTAGTGATCCTGCAGTAGGTTCTCCATGTACATAGAGCTTGCCACACACCGCTATCTAGAGCACACCGATTCCCTCACATACGACCCCTCACGAGTACCTCGTTGTGAACTTTCGAGATGACCAAAGCCTCATCTGCGATGTGAGTGCTATCAGCGCTAAGTGTTTCAGCTTCGCTGGTGCTCATCTCGAGTCGAGTTGTCAGAACTTCTCCTCGATATTCCGCGAGCTCCACCGTTTCATCCCACACGATTTCGGCCACAGGGTATCATTTACTACAATGCACTGTTTGGACAGGTGGGTCAATGGCGATCGATGCCTCCCATTCGAAGAGTGCGGATTGGTTATACTTGCTCTTGTTGGGCTACTTGTGAGTGTGGTGCTCTCAGGCATGGGCAACCTGGAGTAGACTGGCCGATGTGCTCATCCCATTTTGTACGGAGGTACCCGTCGGTGAAGATCTTCCACATTGACACGATGCAGCACCGGACAGATGACTATACACCGTACTCAACAACCCATGACTTGCATCACTCAGTCGCTAACCCATAACGATATAGTGATACTGCTCGCTCTCATATTAGGATCCCCGGTAACCTCGAAGGCTCCCACCCCTCGTCGATTGCCAAATTCATCACTTCGTATATACGATGGCATGATCAACAAGACAATCTCCGAGGTTTTCGGCCGCATCTTATGGCAAGCAAACACATCGAGGCACCTTCATCTCATCCGGCTCAATTTTCTCACCCGCTACCAACGCATGGGCATACGATGATACATAATTCAGGTTTCATGTACGTTGCTTGTGTAGTTTTTTCTAGTTCAACTGTTTGTAAGCTGTTTACTTACACCGACCAGGTCGGTGCAAATGCTGGAAGGTCCTTCTGGTACATGTCTGGTGGGCCGGGCGGGAGTTGCTTGACTACGGCCATGACTAGCATTGAGCTATGCAGGATGTTTCCTGATGGGAAGGAGCTTCTTCATTATATGCGGGAACGTCCTCGTGCCGTGTTATGCAATGTGGCGGTTCGGTGTGGTTACTCACGAACTAAGCAAGCCAACAGCATTTGGGTAGGTCCATGCTCGATGCACCTGGACCTATCGGTTTCAGCACTGACCTTTTACATGCCACTTTAGAATAAACTTAGTTCATAGAAAACATTTGAGGCTTGCATTGTGAGCATTCTTTATTCTCGAGCAGAGAGCGCAGAAGTCAGATGATCCTCCACAGGCTCTTCTTGAGTGGCCAATTATTCAAGAAGTACCCTCAATCGAACAGGAATGTACACCTTGTCGGGGCCTCGTCGTCTGGTATGCATGTTGCGCCCGTAGTGCGCGTGATACCTTCTAACAGCTCTCATAGTTATTACGTTGAGAGAGCGCATCCTGGGAGATCCCCAGCCCAAGGTCGATTTGAAAGGTGTGATCTGGTGTAGTTGGACCGTATGAGGTGTGAGTAACCCATCTATTCCAACGTCGAGTCGACATTGTTGACGGGCTCATCTTGCCAGATACCACGGATCTTAAGAAATGGCCACGGATCGAAAACTTCTACCTCGAGAGGAGTCCTCGTCCCACATGGTGCGTTGATCGTATGGATTTCTCAGACTCGATATAATTATGACCGACTTGAAGAGTGTGAGGCAGCTGTCAAAAAAAGGCATTTCTAACCTCTTCTTCAAGTACAGCACCTATGACGGGATCTACTTTGTGACACAACTTCTCGACCACCGTTTAAATGTGAGAATGATCCGAGGTTGTCATTTCCGGGATACAGCGTGAGTCACGTTACGCGATTATGAAGCTACGAACTCAGTGCCGAAAGATACGCCGCGGGAGAACGAATCCGTCATCCGACCGCCTGTCGCGACAGAGTCGTGGTCGTTCAGAATTCTTATGATAAATTCGCTAGTGTAGCTAGTGTTGGACGGCAACATTTGATGGAATTCACTAATTCTCTGTCCAAAAAGTCCTATCTGAAAGCTGATTGAAGGTGTCTATAGTGGATACCGTCTCATTTGATCCGGATGGTAAGAGGGAAGACGAAGTGCGGCGAAGCACTCCAACATACGAGATCCCAAAATCTCAAGGTCAAAAGTCCTCTTCATTCCATCGTGGTCTCTTCGCAAAATTTGTATAACCAATATTTTGCTTTACTATCCAGGACTTGGCGTCATATGGACGTCGCACACTCCTCAGTACCCTGATGGAGCGAGGCTCGCGTTCATCGAGGTGAATGGTATATCGTGGTAACGTAGTCATTGCAGGTGTTCGTTCAGATGAGGGATGCAGGCCGTGGACTCATGCTCCATCAACCCGTGGGGATGCAACAGACATTCGGATCTTTCTCTACCGCGAAGCTTCGGACCGAAGCTCTTCGGCGAAAAGGGTGCAATCACCAGAAGAACGCTGGTCCGAGCAGCTAACATCGTTCAGCCCTTATCGGTGACCGATTATCGGTCAATGCCATGAGTTTTCATCACCTCAGCTTGCCTTTCTCCTTGACATTCCTTCTCTCGCGCTTATCAAATATTTCGGCTCAGTGACTTTGACTTTTTGGCAAATACGTCCTGTGTTACTGTCAAAAAAGGTGGCTGTATCGGAGTTAATGCATGGGGAAACAGATGGTCATTGTTCAGGGTGGTCGATTTCGATGAAACTGCATCATCATGTCTGAAGTCGTCCGCATGTCCTCTGTGATCCGCTTGAGGGACAATGTGAAAGTGGCTCAGGCAGTGCCTATTATACTTCAAGACCACAGAAAATTCGCCTTGTACCACTCGAGTATCGGTCTGACACTATCAGGCTTAAAATGGTCGGAAGTATCATAGGATTCCCAACCACACATGGTGCAATTACACGGATGATGCCTTCGCACAGCATGAAATCCTAGCGTAACAACAGGCCGGAAAAGATAGACTTGATGACTCAAGACAATTGGCCTAAGAGATCAAGTGACATCACAGCTCATCGTGTTTGACATCATCCCGTTTCCCTGGCGGAGAGATAGGCCCTGGCCGTTCCAGTGGGATATAAGGGAATGAAATATCAATGCGACGCACTGCGGACCGTTCCCCCATCTCGGAGGAAGCCTGTCGAACCTAGGACGGGGAGATCGAGAAGCTATCGAGTCTCGACGAGAACGTCAAGAGGTGCTTGAGAAGGCTTGTTGAACGAAACGAATTCAATGCCTACTAAGCGACTCAGCCTGGCGCGACACTTCCTCCAAGTATCATCATCGCACTCACCACCATGAACAATGCCTCCAACGGCGTATTGTACACCAGCGCAGTTGGTCAGCACCCCGAGAATCTCGAGGGCTTGAACCAACGGCTGCGTATCAATGATGAGCTCTACGGACTTCGACATCGATGACGATAACGTTTGGGAGCACGTACGAGAGAATCCGTTCTTGGCTTCATCAGCCATATTTGGATGGTCTTTGATCTCGTCTTGACCGAGGCAGAAAATCTTCGAGTACACCCTGCAGTCAGCCGAAGCATAATGCTGTGGTTTGACAGAGAATGAGTGCTGACCTAGCCTCGGGATTGAAAACGAGTGAGTGGACAAGGGAAACAATCCGCTCCTTGTCGTAAGGGTCAACATAGGGTTCACGTAGGGATATCGAGTCCTTGGTGGCAAGAGATACGCTCCAGAACTGAGACCAATTAACATGCCACCGTGTGCACAGAGATGGAGAGAGAAATGTTGAGAAACGAGTGCTTACCCCTCTAGGCACAACCACTACATCGCCCGGATGCTGTTGACATTCACGATAATCCTTCAGGCCGAACTCTTCCCGTAATTCAACCAGCTTTTCCTGAATAACACCAGCCGTTAATCGTATATCCTGATTATGTTAAAATTGGTTGTTTTCTATCGGCCTACTTCAAAGAACATGAAAGCACTGGTGGGTTCCAGAGCTTCCTTTGCGGACGCTGAAACTCGCAGCAACTCCGAATAGGGGACGATGAGCCACCGCCGGCTGAAGGGACATAGAGCTAATCCCAGTCGAGCAATGCTGTTCGCCACCTGCCGTGAAGGAGCGAGTCAACAAGAACCTCCCCTATAGGATTCGGCCAAGTGGTTCTCCACTGCCTGAAGGCCCCACCACGAGACGACTCTGTGATGCGTAGAAATGCTCGATCAAGGCTCTTCTCTGAGGATGATCCATGGAAAGGGACTAACTCATAGCAGAAACATTAAGTTGTCTACCTCTTCCTCATCGTTGCCGGTGATGGACTCAATGATTGTCATGATATCTTCCGAGCCTCGCTCGAGAATATGCTCACGCCAAGACACCAGACGAGACCACGGATTAACCTGGAGTTATCGCAGAGGTATTGCCGACAACTCGGGGCACCGACTGCAGCAGGAGCTGGCAATGGGTGATCTATCTGCTTACTCCTCCCAGCTTGGCACTAACATTATCGTAGCGAGAAGTGAAATCGAGCGAGAGTCCTGCTGGGAGCCACGACCTCAATGGTAGATCCAGCTCGCAGTTTTCGGTGCCAGAACCCGGGAGCTGAGGAGAGTCACAACAGTCACAGGGCAGAGTTCGGTTAGTTACCTTGTTCGAGAAACACTTGTTTAGATAGTTAGTGAATGAGATGTCCTTTCTAGGAACTCGTACTCCCACCCTGAATAGTTGTTTATCTCGTGGAGATGAAATGAAGTTAACCTTGACGTCAGAGAACTCCTTACTAGACATAGACCTGAATGGCAGCAGCAGTAGCAGCAGCACGACGCGACCAACTCCTTGCTGTCGATCTCCTCGAACCGTTTGGATAGAAAGACACCTTCTAGAGGTCTACTCCGCTCTTAGTAGAGCTAATTCCTCTGAATGGGGCGGCTATACCATCCCAACCTATGCCTTGACACAAAAAAATCATTGATGGGGCGGGTATGCCATCCTAAGACATGCTTTATTGTAATGAGTTCCGCTGGATAAGGCGACTATGCCGTCCAAAGATATATCCCAATAAATCGATTTACAATCAATTCCTTTGGACTATGCCACCCCAAGCCATACAAGACCTTGGGGTGGCATAGCCGCCCCTGGATGAATCAATATTATTGGAGGCGACACAGAACTTTAAAATAAACAGAGAGATTTTACTGTTGAATAGGGTCTCGAGAGATGGGCAGCGTTTCCCAGCTGGATGACTGGTGAGTTATCAGTGCAGACCTACTCGGCTGTCCATCGACGCAGGTCAGCTTCGTTAATGCAGCAACCACTGCCATTCCGCAATACAACTGGTTCCGAAAGGCGAAACACTCGAGAGTGCACCAGCTGCTCGACCTCACCAACTGATAGTGTTTTGACCGTACCTGATAATCAGAAGACGTATTAGGATCGATCATAGGAAGTAGATTCCACACTGGGTTCCACTTAGTGGAACCTGGCCAACACCGCCTCGGAGACGCGTTGGACTCCGAGAGGAGAGACCGCCACATACAGATACAGATACAGCAAATTGCTATCAGTGATGTATTGCTGTCAGCAATACATCACTGATAGATTCGATGGCATTCAACTGGAGAGGACTCCGTGCTTTGAATAACGATTCCCGTAATCTCCTAACCCCGCATCTTCCTACACTTCCTGCTTTGTAACTTTTTCATGTCCGCCACTTTCTTTTTGCCCTCAGTGAAGCTTCGAGGTACTCGAGTCGTCTTATCGGATGATTTTATCGCGATTTCGTGAAGCTGAGTATGAGTCTTATTCAGCTGCATCACCAAATCAGAAACCTACGAGAGTGAACTTGTCTAGGGTGTCTACACCTATGCCACTCACAAATTTTCCCATGTTTGATGAAACCTGATTGGCCAGTGTCCACGCCATCAGCGCTTGTGCTTCTTCGAGAAGAGCTTTCGTATCTTCTCCTCGGGCTATGGTATACTTGACATGGATGTGTGTTTGTAGTGGCTGCTGAGAAGCAACGGCACCCGGCGGCAGTACCATCACTAGAGACCATGAGATAGACCAGAATAACAGTTGTCTCATGGAGTGTAATGAGAAAAAATGTCGCTGTAACAACGTTCGTTCCAGCATAGAATGACTCTGGGGTCTTGCATCGTTGTTAACATCGGGAAAGTTCTAGAGAAGTCTGATATCTGAGATCGATTCTGTCTCAGAGACCATGGATATCAGTGAAGAGTTGGTCGCAGTAGCGGGTTGATGGAGAAGCTAACGAATACTCTGGCGATGCAGTAGATCTTGTACGCTTACCTCGTGGCATTCAAGATGTATGATTTCTGAATCTCTAAACGAAGAATGACATACTCGTTGCGATCGAAACGCCGAGAAGCTTGCTCCCGTTTGCGTAGAGAATTACGAGTTGATCACCTCGAACTCGGTCACACTCGCCAAAGTATTCAATTCGGGCATTACAATAGGACCAGGGGCAACCTGACCGAGTATCCTTCCCATTACTATGATCACCGCATACTCTCTAACACAATACTAGGAGCAACCAAGAGTTAAGTTACGAGACAATTCAAGCAACTTTGAGCCAATAGCAGACAATCCTTCGCAAACATTCCAGAAGAGTAGCTTTTGCGGATGAAAAAAATTGACAACAGTCAACGTACGATGGCCCTATATTATATAGAGTATAAAGCTATTGCAGTCGAAATATTGGTAAATTACATAGTAGAAGGGGTAACCTCACCTTCGGACTTCTCCTCTAGTGAGCGCATGAACTGGAAAAAGGCGAACTCGCTCGTCTTCAGACCGTTAGAGTAGACAAATTCGTCAGCAATCCAAGTAGCAACCATAGCATTGAGATAAGCCTCGGGGGTGTTCTCGACGATCTTATCCAAACCACAATGAACAAGAAGCAATCTGGGCACACAACGTCTGAGAACAGCACGAACCATCCAGTCATTCTCAGGGTCGTGTTCCTCGAGTACGCCAAGGATGTAAGACTGCATGTCGTTGATCTTCTTAGACAATAAGATGGTGGCATCAGTCTTACGAATATACCTTGATCCATCAGGATACTTCACCTCGTGGTTAGTCTTCCAGATGCCATTGAACTCCATCTTGGCATTATGGCGAACAGCGGCAAGGATCTCCTGTACGTACTGTTCGTAGAACTCAGGAGGAGCACTAGTCTCATCACGAGCGCAAAGGAACTCGTCATGATCAGCCGTATCCATGCAAAGAGCAGCGAACACCTCCATACTGCTAGAAGTAACACCACCCTTGTTAGTGGAAGCATCCTTGAATAGCTGGACACCAGCATCCTCAAGATATCGACGAGCATCATCGGTCAAGAATAAGTTTGCACCCTCCACAACATACTTGAACTTGAGCTCCTTAGTCTCAGGATTGAACATGGTCTTATCAACATTACCAATGTTAATAGTACCGGGACGACCACCACAAGGGATGAAGAGATCAGCAGAGAAGTACTCCATCTCTGGGAAATGATTCGCACCTCAACCCCGGACT